TCCTCTCCGATTCCCCCATCTGCCCCCCTTCTCTACTGGTGTTATGCTGATTTCCTTCCCCAGCAGATGGGCTGCCTCTCTTCCTACTGGGACCCTCTCCTGCATCCATCTGGAACCTTCCCTCCGCCTCTAGCTCCGATGGCAGTTCCCTGACAGGTACTGAATTCAAAACTTATGGAAGTCAAGCTGTAGTGGAGGGAAGTCGCTAGGTGTGGTGATAGCATATCATGGGGGTGGGAAGGTTCTTTTTGTATGTGTAAATGGTAGTTTGTCTTTGTGTACTTATGTATTTTCTCTGTGTCTTTTTGTATTCTTTTTATGCACTATTAATAAAAAAGTTTTAAAAACAAATTAAATAAAATGGTGGTGTTTAGACCTGCTTGTTTTCTTTTTCAAAAAGGATTCCCCCCCCACGTTGCAATTTGACCAAATATGCTGTAGGTGGTGCTCCAGTTTGAAATTTAGCTCTCCCTCAAGTCTAGCCCTCCCTCTCTCGCTTAAATTTCAAATAAAATTAAAACAAATTAATGTGCATGAGGCGCATGCTTACATCTGAAAATATTTATTTATAGTGCAGAATATCTATCTAGACAAAAAAGAAGAAATATGAGAGTAAAACTATAATCATTTAACACTTGCTCAGATTTTGTTTCCCCTTCAGATTAATATCGTGGCATTTGCATTCCAATAACAATTATTCACTGGTGCTGGGTGGCTTGCAGATTATACCGCTCCCCTCACACGTTTTCATCCTTCCGCTTTTGAAGGTGTCTGGCAGATTTAGGTCAGACATTTTTCCTCCAATCACCCTGCAAGGAGAACGGGGAGGAAGGGAAGAATTCCCAGCCCCAATCTTTTCTAATATTTCTACATTACTTCAATCCAGTAGAGGTTTACTCTGCCTCAAGCTAAAGAAAATCTATTAGGCTTTTTAAGGAAGAAAGTCAAAAGGGGGAAGCATCCTGGTATAAGGTCAGGCAGAGATGTGCACAGCAGAAAACGCTGCTGCTTAATATCATTAGTTTGGCTGTCAGGGAAAGTTTATCCCACAGGATGTTAGGCTTATCTGTGTTCACTACTTGCTTGCTACTTTTGCTGGGTGGAAATCCCATCCAGACAAGACTGTGAATTGCCACAGTCTGCGAAAACATGGTGTCTGCCAGTAGCTGGGTGTGTGGTTTTCTGCTTGGGCCATGAAGCAGGTAGTGGTGGAGAAAAACAAGGAGTAGCTTGGGCCAACAAAGGTCCGTATAGTTAAAGCTATGGTTTTCCCAGTAGTGATGTATGGAAGTGAGAGCTGGGCCATAAAGAAGGCTGATCGCCAAAGAATGGATGCTTTTGAATTATGGTGCTGGAGGAGACTCTTGAGAGTCCCATGGACTGCAAGAAGATCGAACCTATCCATTCTTATGGAAATCAGCCCTGAGTGCTCACTGGAAGGACAGATCCTGAAGCTGAGACTCCAATACTTTGGCCACCTCATGAGAAGAGAAGACTCCCTGGAAAAGACCCTGATGTTGGGAAAGATGGAGGGCACAAGGAGAAGGGGATGACAGAGGACGAGATGGTTGGATAGTGTTCTCGAAGCTACCAGCATGAGTTTGACCAAACTGTGGGAGGCAGTGGAAGACAGAAGTGCCTGGCAGTGGAAGACAGGAGTGTCTGGTCCATGGGGTCACGAAGAGTTGGACATGACTAAACGACTAAACAACAACAAGCTTGGGCCACCATTTTTGAGTGGAAAAGCTCTGCAACTCTAAGCACGCACCCCTTTTGAAACCGAGGGCATATCCTCCAACATCTCGCCACAGAAAACCAGGAGACATGTCTTCCGTGACACGCTCCCACCTGAGTCACATGACCTGCGTGAGATTTCAGTGCTCCAAAATGTGTGGTTTTGGGCTCCTTGATTCTTGCAAGATCACGCTATGAATGTCCTTCAGGGCCACAGCACGATGTGCTGCATTTTTGGGTGTTGTGCTGCCCCAAAGTGGGATGTCCTGATTTAATGAGGGCAGTTGAGGGGCATGCGAAGGCTGTTTCAAAAGCTGTTTGTGGTATGACCTGAATGCCTCTTATTTTGAGGGAAGAAATCCAAAGTCTTAACTGGGCATGCCCAAGCCCTAGCCATTTGGGTGCTCCCAACTGTAAGGACAGATTCACAACTTGTCCTCTTTATTGAAATAACACTTGTGCTTAGCCCCACCCTGTTTAAGGAGGCTCTGGAAAATGAGGTGCCTTTTTTCTAGCTCTCAGTAGAGACCACACTGCCTGCATTCAACACCCCTGGGGTCCTTGAATGCATTATAACCAGAGAGATGTTCTAATAGAATTTCAAAACTGCTGGATGTTTCAGACTGAATACAACTTTCCCAGTAGTAGTACTATTAATCTCCCGCTACTGAGTCTCTATTCTGGTATCTCTGTTAGAGACATAATTATGACAGAGAAAAGGTGAAGGAGGCACAAAAGAACTGACAGTCATCAAAGTATTAATAGCGGCACCTGTAACCTTGCAGAAACTTCATGGTGCATTGTATCTAACATTATTGCAGAACAGGATTTTCAGTGACACCAAGGTGCTGGTGTTTGAAATGTGCACACGTTACTGATGAACCCAAAACAGAATTCCTAATTATATTTTGTTCACATTCATTGAATGAAACCTTCTTCTTTTCGAAACTGGCTGTTGAAGATAGTTGCTGACTATCTGTGACCTAAAACAGATGGTGCCCCCGACCACCACTTTAAACCACTTGTGCGAACCTTTGATTTTAATGGGTGCCATGGGAGAAGACATTTATCCCTGTCACAATCTAAAACCCTCCATCTGAAACTGCCCTTAACCTCACTGGGGAGAAAATATAGGTGTAGCATAGGCATCTCTCACTCTCTTCTGCTATAGGTGTGTTAAAATTCTGTCTACAATCCCCTTATAGTATTCTGAGAAAGTGGTATCTTATCAATATTGGGAAATACATCTATTCTCTTAAAATGCCACTTCTTTATAGCAATATAGGGGGAATTGGATAGGAAATGTTAATCATCCCACAGCACAATCCTATGTACGCTAAATTTAAATCCCACTTGGGCTAAAATCCCATGCAAATGTATTAGAAGTCCTGTTGAATACAAACAACAACAACAACAACAACAACAACAAAACATGCTCCTGTGTAAACATGAATAGGATTGGGAATGCAAGAGCTGGAAAAAAGGGAAATGAAAGGTGGCTCCATGGAAACAAGATTTTATGGGATTCTTTTGGAAGAAAATTTCATCACTGGACAAATATGCTGAAAGTCTTGACAAGCAACTGATGTCAAATGTGAAGACTATTGACTTAAGTGCTTTGCTAACCTTTGCTCTTTTTATCTGATATATCCTCATCTTTGCAAATGACAAAGAGCACAATATTACAGCATAGGTAGGAAATATCAGCCATTTATTGTAAGAAATGGCCACAAATGTTTTGACCAGTTTCCCCATTCCCCATTCAGCTTAAATATGGATTGGTGAAAGGGAGGCCAGATAATTCCAATGGAAATGGGATTGGAAGCTACCAATGATTGCTTATTCATTCCATGTCTGGATCAGAAATCCATCCAGCAAGTACAATTGCTATTGACCGCTGTTACTGTTTTCAGTCTGCAAATGATATGCAGTTGATTATACCCCCACCCACTGTGTTTCCATTGCATTGAAATGAATAATGTGGAATAATGTGATGACAACATAAACTATGTAATTTACATAATTAATTACACAAGCTGCCTAAGTTACCTAATTTTGCCACAAAGACAAAAATGTAGTTTTGGTGGAAAATGAACTGCAGTAGAACAGAAACAGAGGTGCATACAGCAAATGCAGGGCAGAATGGAAAGCAATGCTTTCGTCTTATATCCCTAACTGATCTCTTTTGTCACATTGTAAGCCCTTCCAAGAAATCAACTAGTGGCACTGATAAGTTATCCATCACACAAGACAGTCTCTACTAATTCCAGATATCCTTCTCCATCAAAGAAATTGGCTTGAGTGGAATGTTGCTTCCCATTGATATGAATTTATGCAATATTTCCTTATAGCAATGCACTGATCTTTACTAGCAATGAATCACTCTGACACCGTGTTCTAAGAATTTAAATACTAACCCTGAGAGACTGAGATGTGTGTGGGGAATGAGAAATTAATATCCTTTCTCTCGTCTACATTTCGGCCCTTACTTTGATGCCTGCCTTCTACTGTTGCAATGAGGCTACTGGACATGTCCACCGCAGAGATGGTTTTTCAGCTTGGTCAGGTAGGGCTGAATTTGCCCAGAAAAAAACACAGAACCTCCAGTCTTTTCTGTCTCTCTCCCATCTATATCTATATCTATATCTATATCATCTATATCTATAGCTATATCTATATCATCATCATCTATATCTATATTTATATGCAATATAGTCATCACTTAGATCATTTAGTCGGTTTCTCTGGTGTCCATTTTCCGTACATTTCCCTGCTGGCCAATCAGTTACAAGCCTGCACACACATGAATCCCCCCCCCCCGTTTCTAGAAGGAAACCATTTTTAAAGCAATGTCTCCTTCAATCCCACTGAAAAGTTAGAGCATCAAGACTGAACACTCCTCCATTAGCTCTTCCTTCTCTCAGGTTGTTAACCTGTAGCCAATAAGGAGCCATTCAGAACACAACAATCAGCAAACAAATAGAACAGTCCTAATAAAACCAACCCAGTTGCAACATTTCCCAATCTTTGCTTTCTCTTCAGAGAGCACCCACCCACATGTGCTTTATTAGAGAGGGAGATAGAAGATGCAGCTTCTCATTATATTTATAATATAATTTTAATTGCTTTGCCTGAAGAATGTGTATGCGTGTATGAGAGAGAGAGAGAGAGAGAGGGAGAGAAAGAAAGAAAGAAAGAAAGAGAGAGAGTCTTTGTACATTGAGGTTGAATCCTGACAAGACAGAAGTACTCTTTTTGGGGGACAGGGGGCAGGCAGGTGTGGGGGACTCCCTGGTCCTGAATGGGGCAACTGTGCCCCTGAAGGAGCAGGTGCGCAGCCTGGGAGTCATTTTCGACTCATAGCTGTCCATGGAGGTGCAGGTTAATTCTGTGTCTAGGGCAGCTGTTTATCAGCTCCATCTGGTATGCAGGCTGAGACCCTACCTGCCCGCAGACTGTCTTGCCAGAGTGGTGCATGCTCTAGTTATCTCCCACTTGAACTACTGCAACACGCTTTATGTGGGGCTACCTTTGAAGGTGACCCAGAAACTACAACTAATCCAGAATGTGGCAGCCAGACTGGTGACTGGGAGTGGCCACCGACACCACATAACACTGGCCTCGAAAGACCTACATTGGCTCCCGGTACATTTCTGAGCACAATTCAAAGTGTTAGTGTTGACCTTTAAAGCCCTAAATGGCCTTGGCCCAGTATACCTGAAGGAGCGTTCCACCCCCATCGTTCTGCCCGGACACTGAGATCCAGCAGCGAGGGCCTTCTGGTGGTTCCCTCACTGCAAGAAGCCAAGTTACAGGGAACCAGGCAGAGGGCCTTCTTGGTAGTGGCACCCACCCCATGGAACCCTGACCCCTTCAGATGTCAGAGAAAAACAACTACCTGACATTTAGAAGACATCTGAAGGCAGCCCTGTTTAGGGAAGTTTTTAATGACTGATGTTTTAATGTATTTTTAATTCCCCAGAGTGGTACAAATAATAAATTATTATTATTATTATTATTATTATTATTATTGAGAGGGCAATGCAGAAGGGAGAAAGGAACTCTGGGAAAGGGGTATTTTCCATCACCAATATGCCTCCAGGTATTTTGTGCTAATCTTCCCTATATCATTCCAAATTTAGTATATGTGCTGCTGAAGCAATTTGCCCCCAATACCCTTTCATTGGCTGGCTTCAGAAATGAAAGAACAAACCAACGAACCATTCTTGAACTGAGCCTTTAAGCTATTTCTTGTTCTGCTGTGATGGCAGAAGAAGACATGAGGGGTGCTCACAGTGTGGTCCCTCGGGCTGCAGAATTTCTTTTGATGGCCCTTACAGCAGCAGCAACAACAACAACAACTACAACAATCTGTTTGCCTCACTAGCCTGCTCCTTCATAACACATTGCTATGTATGTCTGTCTGGATGTAAGGCACACTGAGCTCAATGGGATTTAATTTCAGGTGCCTAGGATTGCAGCCTTATTCTGCTTCCTATTTTGCTGCAATGGCAGATGAAGAAGTGGGAGGAGGTAACCTGCTAGAGCACTACAGTAAGTTGGGGTGATTTTCCTTTTCTGCCATTGGAGGAATGTGTGTCCTAATCATATGATTCAGATCAGATCATGGTTTTACCTGGAACTAAGTTGTATTCTCCTTGGGAGAAAGGTGATGGCAAACCAAGACAGCATCTTAAAAAGCAGAGACATCACCTTGCCAACAAAGGTCCATAAAAAGCCATGGTTTTCCCAGTAGTGATGTATGGAAGTGAGAGCTGGACCATAAAGAAGGCTGATCGCCGAAGAATGGATGCTTTTGAATTATGGTGCTGGAGGAGACTCTTGAGAGTCCCATGGACTGCAAGAAGATCAAACCTATCCATTCTTAAGGAAATCAGCCCTGAGTGCTCACTGGAAGGATAGATCCTGAAGCTGAGGCTCCAATACTTTGGCCACCTCATGAGAAGAGAAGACTCCCTGGAAAAGACCCTGATGTTGGGAAAGATTGAAAGATTGAGGGCACAAGAAGAAGGGGATGACAGAGGACGAGATGGTTGGACAGTGTTCTCGAAGCTACAAACATGAGTCTGACCAAACTGCGGGAGGCAGTGGAAGACAGGAGTGCCTGGCGTGCTCTGGTCCATGGGGTCATGAAGAGTCGGACACGACTAAACAACAACAACAAGTTGTATTATTGTGGAGGAAGGATGAAACAGGACAGTAGTGTCCCAATACGGATGCAAAGCTCCATCCACATGCATGTAAATTTTATGAGTCTTCTATGGACCAAAGGATATAACAGAAAGGTGTCGTTGACTGCCAGCTCTCCAACATTAGCAAAACAGCACAGTGGTATCACCATCATCATTTATTACTTGCCTTTCCCGCTAAGGTCCCAAGGCAGGTTGCAACAATTTAAAATACAACACACTGAAAACAAACTTACAACCACAAAAATAAGATCTAATAAAACATAACACAATATTTATATTACATTTCTGCCTTACACAGGAACATGCTGATAGTCCTCCCAAAGTCAACTGGTGCTTGATTTCCAAGTGCTTCAAAAAGGAGTAAAAAATCGGAGTACCTGAAAGTTCATTAAAAGTATTGGAGAGCTGAAGGGAACGAGATCAAATGAGGTGGAGCAGAAAGCTTAGGAAATATACAGCACTTGGATGTCTCATGAATAAGTAGTCAGACCTTGAGACAGATGGAGAAAAGAAAGGAAGCTTGATTTGAGCTTATTTGCACGGCAGAAACAGGCCCATTATGCAGCCTGCCTGAGCAGGCTTCTTTACGAAACGTACGCACATTTGTAACATTTTACATTTGGTTTAATAATTTATCAACCTTCAATATTTCAAAAGAGTGAAGTAGAAAATCAGATAAAATTTTCATACCAGCTATTAGAAACTGAATGGAGAGGATCTAACCATTCATACTAGTGCAGGTAGCAGCTGAAAGTCACCGCCCTTAAAAAAAACTTTTCACTGTCATGCATTCTATCAGCGGTTCATTTTCTTTTTACAATCCCACTGGGCACAGAGCAATTACGAGGGGTTAATGACAAGCGCAAGTCCTTAGGTTGTCTCTCAGGCCCCGAGCTCATGCTATGCAGTTATTTCCTCCCCAGCAGTGCCTGTTACCCAGGGTCAGTGTTACCTAATTACAGTGGCCCCTATTGCTAAAGCTGCAGGTGTCCTGCGGCTTCCTGGCATCACATCTCCTTGCAGAAACTTCAATTGAACATCAACTGACGAAAACACCACCATTTCTGTTTTCTTTTACACTCTAATTTTTTTTTGGTGGTGGGGATTTATTGCTTTTACAGTACAGTTGTTCTTGTCATGCTCCCATCCCGAAACACAATGACAGCTGCTCATACTTGAGAGTAAGGCAGAGGTTTTTATTCAGGCTACTAACAGTATAAGTTCAGCAGGAAGCACTGGGTCCAGCAATCATGATTCCTAGGTATGAAAGCAAAGCAGTAGATGCAGACAGGGGTGCCAAGTTGGATAAGCCAACTTGTGGAAGCCCAGGTAAGCCTCGCTCCACATAATTGTTCGCATGACGCAGTGCACACACACTATTTGAATGGGAATGCCCATCAACTTTGTGGGGGCCAAGCTGTTAAAGACGAGGCAGGGCAAGTTTATTTCCAAGACTCTCTTACCCAATGGGACCACCACACGTTGAAACACACACCTGAGCTGGTGTGTCTGATCCCACCTAAGGAAGTGGTGCCTGGTTCTTGATGGCAAGGCTGTGTCTTGCCTTACTGACTCCAGCTTCGCCTCCTCCTGCTCAGTCTGTCCCACAGGGTGCTCAAAGCCTTACCCCTTTCTTGATGAGGCTATGCGCTCTTCAGGAGGGGCAATAGAGAGAACTGGCAGAGCTGCATGGGAAGTGGGGCCTGGTTTGGCCAATTTGCAAGTGAATGGGGAGTGCAGTTTGGGTGATGTGTAGGGGAGGGGGTTGAGGGATGTAAGGGGAGGGGCTGGGGGAGTTTGGTGAGGTGTAAAGGAAGGGGGTGAGCAGGATGTAAAGGGAGCGAGTGGCAGGTAAGGGGGCTTGGCGAGCTCTGTGAGCAGGGGGTGCAGCCCTAGTTTATTTTAAAATATGTCTATGCTGCCTTTCAGCTAGGATTTCCACGGTGATGTTTAGAAAAATCAGTGACAATGCAATCCTTTAGACACCTACCCAAAAGTTAGTTGCATTGAACATGAAGGCAAAGTGCAATTGGAGAGGAGGGTTTTGGATGGGAAAATGGTGCAAGACTAGAATCCAGACTTGGAATATGCTTCTGACCATACACTGTGGCTTTTCCTTCAAGGAAAAATTAAATGGGAATTATTTCCACAGAAATGTGTTTCATTTCCCTTAGAACTAAGTACTAACACCATAAACTCAATGTTATCTGTTACGCAGTGCAGTCCTCTGCAGGCGTACTCAGAAGTTAAGTCCCACTGTGTTCATCTGGGCTTACTGTCCACAGGGTTGTTGCAGCCTAATTATCAGAAAGGGACCATTTACATATTCATACCTAAACACACACGGAAATATGTGTCTATGGGAAGAGGAAGGAGAGAGAATATGGAGAGTGGATGGCTCACAGTGGGAACAGTGACATGGCGTTTGGCCAACATAATGGGGAACAATGAGCATTATCATACTTTTATAATATATTCAGAGAACACTCCCACGTCTCACAATTTTCAATAAGAATATGTGACCATTGAATAACAAAGTGTTCCTTACGAAGCAGAACAATAACATATCATCTGTCTAAGCAGGGCAATTTCTGCAGTGGTGCCCATTTTATAGAATGTCTGCCTGGGGAAATTGGCTAAGAACATCTTCATGATTTTTATCTGCTGACAGCTTTCCCAGCATTTGGCTGAATCCTACTGCTTGCTGTTGGGTTATTTTATGCAACGTTTTAATCTCCTGTTTATTTTTATCACATTGTATGTACATTAGTATGTGAGAACCCTTGAACATTGATTTTTTTTCTTAATGGAGGAAAACCAAGGCAACATCTTCAATAAGGATGATAATGATAATAATATCATCACAGTCTTAAATCCCTTGGGGAGATGTTTCATGAACTTCAGGAGAAATTATAAGCAAAGAAGAATGCACTGGAACACAGACTCTTAAAATTGGGGAAATATCTTCAGTTTTTATTTTTTCTGATCATTTCACCCCATTTCCAGTTGGTAATTTCTTTCTTCCTTTTTTTTTAAAAAAAATTGTCATGAAAATTTGTCAGCATTTTGGTATGGAGTTTTGGCTAATGCATCTATTTTGAAAGCAATTTATCCAAATATGATGCATTTTTGTATATTCATCAGTGTACACACCTTTCCCCTTCATTTATGCATTTTTGTACACACTGTTTGTTGGAGAACTGCATTACAAAACATGTGAATGTCAAATGATAGCTGTGTTTTAGTCCACAGATTGATTCGGGGAAGGGCAATTTAAAGAAGTTTGCATTCTAATGCAAACAGAACTGCATTTCTTCCCTTTGCCACACTTCTATAATTTGTGCATGTCTGTTTCTGTGTGGAAGTTTATTGGATGCTGTTTCCATTTCACAGTCCACTCCTCTCTACTTATGAGCCTGCGAAGGACCAGGACATTATCTCAGATTCTATTTAAACCAGCTGATGCTGTGCTGACAGGCTTCCTGATTGCTCAAGGAGTTTACGACAGGGAGTAACTCCAATCCCCCAAGAGAAATTCAGATTCATTCTCTTGCTTCTTGCAGCTGCTCATCATCCCAACCCACCCATTCAGAGCAGAGTTTAGATCTTAGCATCTCTCTTCTTCTCTCCTGCTCCACAGGGTAGGACCCAAACCCATCATAAAATAATAGAATTGTAGAATTGGAAGGGACCCCAAGCATCATCTAATGCAATGCCCTGTAATGCAGGAATCACAACCAAAGCATTTGTGACAAATGGCCATCCAATCTCTTCTTAAAAACCTCCAATGAACAATAGAACCTCTTCTAATTCAGCATAATGGAGTGTTTTGTCATAGTTGTGTATAGAGAGAAGGGATTGTTGTGTAGTGTTAGAGGAAAAAGCTGGGCCTGATGATATTGCTTCTTCTGCACAATGAGCAAAGGTGCAGGTGCAAATGTCTTCCTTTGAATCTGGTCACTCTAGTCATATAGACAATGACTCTAGATGAGCACCACATTCTGCAAGGTAAAGGTAGGTGTAAACAGCAGAAAGATGATTATGGTTGCAGGTGGGCTGTATTTCTCCTCTCCGTGGACTTTTTCAGACAAGAGGATTTCTGTCTTCATGAGCATCTGGCAATATTAAGACTCTTCCTCTAGATTCTGCCTTTCTTGCGTGAAGAGGAAAAGAAGTTCTAATAACTAAATGCAATGGCCTGAGCTTACCTGTTCGGAACTTTAAGTAGTAACTAGTTAGAAAGTTAGATCATAAAACATTAAAAAGACATTTTTAAGCAGCTCTGGATGCTTTTATAGTTGGGATGGGGTTCACTTTCAATTTCCAACACAAAATGGCATAAATAAAATAATAACCAGTATGACATTTTAGAGAAAATTGGAGTGCAGTGTAAAGGCCACAATGGAGCTCTTTCCTTTTTGGGCTCTGTCTAAATTTTTTAAGAACTAAAACTAAAATCACATCAGCTGTCTCTGGAGTATAGTGCACAGCCCTAATTCACAATCTAGTTTTTTTCTCTCTCTTTAAAAGAAAAATATATTTAGGCTACAATTCTGTAAGCACATATATGCTAGTAAGCTCCTCTGAACACAGGGGAACATACTGCAGAGTAACTACGCATAAGATTGTGCTGTTTGTAAGAGAAATATTTAGGCATTCTACTCGTGTAAAAACAACATCTGAGCAGGGATGAACACCCTATGCTGTTTCCTGTGCCTGAGTCGTCTGAATGTCTGAAGCAGGGAGCCTCCTTTGTAGTTTAGATCCTGATCTTCTAGGGTTCTAAATTATGTAATGAGAGACAGGTCAACTAATTGCAATTAGGCACCATTTCTGTAACATTTATTAAAGCACATGCATAGCTAGTTATACGTGTATAATAAGCTGTCCTAAACATTCATAGTCATATAAGAATAAGGTCCACTATTTGACTGCTGATGTAGGAATCTAACCTGTGTTTTATATAATCGACTTTTTATTTTGTTCTGTGTATACTGCAATGCTCTTTTGTTGCTATGGCTGATGCAAATAAAGTTTGTTTCATTCATTCATTCATTCATTCATTTATTCATTGTCATGGTCACTTTCAGGCAAGGGGTGACCAATTGCTTGAGAGTGTGCTGTTTGCTGATGGAGGCTTCTCTAAGACCACTTCCTCAGATAGTGCCTTCTGCATTCCAAAACTCTGTCCCAATTCATCGGAAGAGTGTTGACGTCAAACACTGTCCTGGGCATTGACATCCAAATATTGCACCTCCCCCTCAGTCCTCAGTCAAGATTGAAACATGGCATGCCATCTTTGTTGTCTGTGCATTCAGCATGTTTATGACTGGTGTCCTCCAAGATGGAGCTGTTTGTGCCTGATAAGCATTTCTGATGTTCTTTGGAACGAGTGTCGAGCTTATGGTGTTAGTTACCCTGCCCACCTGTCAGACAGAGCTGGCTAAAAATGTTCCCCACCTCTAGTGTATAGCCTTAATAAGCAAACATTTTCTCAAATTCTAGCTTTAATTGGAAATATTCTTAACAAGTCTTAACATTACATATAAGTAGAATGCCTGTGTACATGCTAATCCATCCTATCCTATAAATGAAATTATATCCAAATCACTAAATATGCCAATTCCTAGTTTTGGTTTAGCTTACAGGGCAGCTCTGTTTTGTATAGGCCTGACCTTTTAAATCAAATGGTATCCTCTTCAACGAGGGTCCTGGTAGCGCGCGGGTCCCTGAGACAACCCCCGCCAGGTTGAAGGTGCTGGCCGTGGCCCAGGCCTTGTCTGTATGGCCCCACAATCACACCAGGCCGTTTGAGCCAATCAGTGCAGGTGGCATGATTGGTGGGGGCCTATAAAAGTGGCAGCATGATGTGGGGCTAGGGGCATGCCAGGACCACAGGAACCCCGGGGTGAGCTTCGGTTGATCTTCATCGATGTTGCTCCCTCGTTTGGTGTTTACCCTTTCAGACTACCAGCCAGAGAGGCAGGAGTCAGTTATAGTCTGTTGCCAATGCCTAAGCCAATACCGCTCACTTTGCTGTAATCAATAAAGTTGTGGCCTAAATTTTGCACATTAACTTAAGCCAAAATTACATGTCAGTGTGAACTTATTTACTTGGGGAAGGGCTTGGGGGCCTCGGGGCACCATTGAAATCTTATGTTCAGATTCATACTAAGCTATAATGTTTCCTGGTTTGTTTCTGGATGGATTCATATGTCAAGTTGCTGCAATGCAGTCATCTGGATTGTTCCAGGGATGCACACCTGCTGGTCCTTCTGAAGTTGGTCTCCAATTCGCATCAGTCCCAGCCAGCATGGCCAATGGACACAGATGGGAGTTGGGGTCTAAAAACATCCACCTTGTACCTGATGTAGACTCTCTAGTTCTCATCATTATTGCTGCATGACTTCTTCCTGTTAGTTTCTGGCAGCGGTTCCTATGGTTTGCCTTCCCAGGCGAGGTCCATTAGGCACTATAACTATACTGCTTCAAGCAGTTGCTGAAGACCTGGCTTTTAAAAATGAAATTTGGTTAATTGCATATTTTCTCTTTTTATTTTGCTGGATCAGTTCTGTGTTATTTTTGTTCAGCAGAATTGGAAATGGTCCATTTATAGACTTGAATGCATATTGGTTGTTGTTGTTTTTTTAAAGGAGATTAGGTTTGTTCTGTTCAGTTTTGTTAGCCGGTTGAATCTCTATGGAGAAATAGGTGACATTTTACTAAAAAACAAAACCCCCCAGTTAATCAATTATTTAAGGGCACATGTAAGATAGCCATCACATGTTTTGAAACCAGCTTTATGTCAACTAGCATTATGCAATGCTCTGTAAAGAATGAGCTGAATTCTTTACACAGCACATGGCAAAATGCAATAAGAAATGCTTTGATTTTGTTAGATCATTCCTTGCATTTAATATCACATGTTTAATAATTTATTTTAATAATAGAAAAACAAGCTGCCCTTCACTCCCCAGAACATCATTTGAAATACTCCTGTTCCATTTAAAAAAAATGTTATTTTTTTAAAAGTGAAGTTATGAATTTGAGCTCTCCTCATCAAGGAGAGGATGTTGGAGTTTTCATAAGGGCTGATAAACTTAGTTTATTAATTGTTACTGCTCACTATGATATTAGAAGTTGGGGGAAGAATCTGGAAATTTGAAGGGACTTTTCACTGATGCTTGTAAGATATGTCCCAGTCTATCCATCTAAAATATTAATGCATCCCAGAAAAGAAAAAAGAGAAAAATCTTCATGCTCATAGGATAAAGACATTTTCATTTTAAAAAATGGGGAAGTGATATGATTTCTTCCCCATCAATCCCTGAAGCAAAGTACAAGATGAAAATGTTCCACTAGCAAATATCAAGCCTACAAGGTAATTTGAGGCTACCTCAACTTTTGGTCAATAATAATTCTTTATGATCTGAGTTTCTCAAACTTTCTGAACTTGCTTTTTCTACCTCTAACTGTCCTCTACTTCTGTGTTGTCTGTTATACCTTAGGGCTTGTCCAGACTTCCGCTTTCCCCATGCCTAGAAAACATGGGTCCGAGCCTTTTGCCTTTTCCCCACTCCTTTCCCCTGAAAAGCCCACTCTTTAGTGCTAAATCACAGCCAATGTCAATCTGGAGAAAACCTTTGACGTTTGCTCATTTCCCCAGGAGTAAGTGCCGGGGCAAGGTGAAGTGTGACTGAACTCTTAGTAACTAAAATCAGGCTCCACACACATATTGATAACTGGTTTTTATTAACACTCTTTGAATACAGCTCCTTGGCAGGATTTCTCCCAGACCAAGGAGGTGGAGGAGTCTGGAGACTTGACCCACACATGATACCTTAGATCCCTGGATGTAATGTTTAACTATGCTCTCACCATGCCCACTCCACTAACTCAGGTTCAAATGAATAGCACAGGTTCACAGCTATTAAAGAAGGGTACAGGCCTACAGGTAAAGACCACTTACCTCCTTCAGGTACAATGGAAGTTGAGGCCTGGAGCAACATCAGGGAGCCAAGTGCAGGAAGGAGGGTGATCCATTGTTCATGCAGGCGGCTCATCTTTGACCTTGGCCAGCCAAGGGGGCTCTAAGGATTGCCTGCTCCATTTTGGTTTGAACTGGCCAATCATGGCCTTTGGAAGGAAGAGCCAATCCAGTTTCTATGCTGGCTGTGCTTGGTGTGGGCAACATGGTTGGCTGGTGAACAACACGCCCCTCACAAGTTTCGGCTGCAAGCAGGCAGCGCACATGTATGGCTTTGCTGTGGGGCTAATCAGTCACCACATTTGGGGCCAGGAAGGAATTTGCTTTCAGACATATTGGATCTTTCTGTGGGTTTTGCCTTCCTCATAGCAATTGTCACAACTTTGGTGGGAAAAGGCATTGGGTTGGATTCATAGCTAAGTGCTGGAGTGAGGGATGGGGTGGAGCCCCACCCACCCACAGATCAGGATCAAAATTCAGAATTTGTTGGTAAAAGGGTCCAGAGGGAAAGTTCTGTTTAGTGGTACAGATGGGGGTCATCAGGCCACAGATCACAGAACACCCTATTTGCGTTCTGGCAGAACTGCCTAAATTGATCTGCGTCATGGGGAGATCTCTGAACCCAGGACTGATTCTGAATAAGAGATTATGATTTGTGTGAGTTTCTATAGTTATTTACTGAAGAAAGGTCACTGCTTAAGAGCATTCTGAATATCATGTAAATCTGTTTTAGGACAATTTATTACATACAATTATGTCAACAGTTAGAGGCCTATTAAATTTTTTAAACAAGCCCGGCAGCAAAAAAGAAAACAAAAAGAACACAAATCCAAGAACATTAATTATACAAAATGCCTAAGTGGAGAACTGAGCTGGGAGTCTTCGCAAGAGGAAACAGAATCTTTAATTACAAAATATGTTCAACAACTGGATGTGTTAGTAGTGCAATCTGCTGATATTTTCTTCATCTCCCAGGTACCTCAAATAGCCTGTCCTGGGTCAGAATGTCTAAGAACATGAATTACATGACCCTATTGCATTGTCACTATTGAGCCATAATTAGCCAATGGCAGATCCATGTTGAGTACTGTTTATGCAGGACCAGGGGCTGCTGTCATTGACAAGAAGTGCTCAGATAGTCAAGGTGTCATACACTGATCTGGACTTCTCAGAGGGAGGGTCAACCTGGGCAATAACCAAATCATGCAGGAGACTCATGGTTAGACTACATGAAGGGTCTGGCTAGGCAACAGATGTGGCTGAGGGGGGAATTCTGTTGGGGAGGGGGTTATGTCAGAAGGGTCATCCTAAATTTGTTGGTTGGGGGAGTCATTACCAGGGAATTGGTATTTACTAGACTGTTTTTCAGAAATTATAGGGGAGCAGGAACACACTACACATAAAAGCTCCCAATAGTATTCTGGGTCTTGGTCCTTTCCTGTATCCTCAGATACTCTTGGATGCTTTTTGTTAAGTACTCAAGTCGTCATCCCCATCCTTGAGATGCCTCCTCTCTCAAAAGACTATGCTTGCATGAGGGCCAGCCAGTACACAGCTACACAACTGCATTTCCACATTACAGATTGAACCCAATCCAGGTCAGGATAGATACAGCTTCTTTTTTAACCACTTGCCCAGTCCACAAACCAGACAACACAAACTGGAATATTTGGAATCAGGTCAGTTTAGGTCTATATTAGCTTACTCCTGGTTTACCTGTGCAGTAGAATGAGGTGGTGGGATGCCCCATATCACTTCAGACAGCAGGCAGAATGCTCTCCTACTTAACAACAAAACAAAGCTCAGCTTCCTGGAAGCAGAAAAGCAGTACTTTAGGCAGAAAGCATCCTGGCCTACCCAGTGTCTACTTGTAGATATTTCTCCCCTAATATTAGGCAGCATTCAGAAATCTAGTGCCCTGCCTTTATGCCAAAGTGGCACAATCTATCACCTTTGGAGTCTTCCACCTCATCCTGCTCCATGTGTATACTGAGCCTTAATTAGTCTTCACTGCAGGGAAGAGGAGAACAGCTATAGTCCTATAAAAAAATGGTATAATAACTATGGGACTATGCAATCATGACAAAATTAATATTTTATATTACATTTATGGAGCATACAGACATGCCCTACTTTTCTTAAGATGGAATAAATTTGTGGATCTTTGTAGAACATATGGGCTATTTCAATGTGCAAATTACGGATTTTCAATGTTTTAAATGAGGATGGATCCTGTATTATTTTTATTTGTATGGTGTTTCTTTCCCTCTTTCTTGACCTTTTTTAAGAACTTTGTTGCATAAATAGAACCTGTTTGCAAACTACTACTACTACTACTACTACTACTAATATTTATACCCCAGCCTCTTTGGGTGGCTTACAGCATATATAAAAACATAGTGAAACATCAAACATTAAAAATTTGATGAAACAGGATTGCCTTCAGATGCCTTCTAAAAGTTATGTAGTTCTTTATCTCCTTGACATCCAAAGGGAGCGAGTTTCACAGGAAGGATGCCACTACCAAGAAGGCCCTCTGCCTAGTTCCCTGTAACTTCACTTCTCGCAGTGAGGGAACCAGCAGAAGACCCTCAGAGAAGGACCTCAGTGCCCAGGCTGAATGATGGGGGTGGAGACGCTCCTTCAGGTATATTGAGCCGAGGCCATATTAATCTATGTAGCCTCATTTAAGTCAATTTAAGGGCAAATTCTTATTAGCCAGAATTGCCCAGAATATCCCTAAACCATTTCCCAGCTCATGTGTAAATGCACCCCCTTACCTAAGGATATTTCCAGCTATTAGTTTTTGTGAGTCCTGGGAGTGCCATGCTTCTCTTTATCTATCGGACCATCCATAGGCACTTTCCCTTAGTTCCACCAATAATGAGTATGTAGAGCATTGGGAACTGCCATAGTTCTACAGGTCTGCAGAAAGCATACTGGAAGTACTGGAAAAGGCTGTCTTAGCTTCCTTCCCTGCCCAGCAGCCCTGAGCACTCTGGAGAAGCCCTTAACCGTTGACATACAGGCTGTTGTGCATCGTCTGCTCTTCCAGTAGATGCCATTTTATTCATTGCTTTGTGTTTGGATTGTTCTTTGGATGTTATTTCATCCATTCTTGCCAACAGTTCCACACAACAAGTTTTCTACAAACACTGGGAAGCTATTAAGTGAGGATCCAAAGCCAGGCTCGGAAAACAACGCCAAGCGCCAATGTTTCATCTCTCGGTGCACATGGTAGACCATGCCTGCCAAAGAGAAAGGAAAGAGCTGTGTTTGTAGGAAAGGAGAAATGTAGATTGAAATGGGTCAGCAGATTCTTTTAAAGAAGGAAGAAGAAAAGAGTGGAGGGACAAAAGAGAAAGAAAAAAGGGCAAGAAAGAGAAAAGGGGAAGGGGGAGGTTTTTGTTTGTGTTGTTGTATCTGTTATAAATTTGGAAAATTAATAACAAAATTTGAAAAAAGAAAAGAAAAGAAGAATGGAATCTGAACGGTGGAAGGGCATCGGCAGCGGGAGGCCTCATTAGGTAAAGCATGCCTTGGTTTAAGAACGGTTTTGGTTTAAGAACAGACTTCCGGAACAGTTTAAGTTTGTAAACCAAGGTACTACTGTAATGCAGTTGCAATGCAAATTTTAGCTGCTCACGGGGTGTTTTATTGAGGGACAGGAGTCTCTGCCCCATTATATCAGTGACCTACTCACAATTCTTTATGAACTTTTAAGAAATGGAACCCCCCCCCACTTCTATACCTGTGCAACCCACATTCATCAGACATGGCGTCCTTTGCTTTGCATGGCAGCTTGAGAAACTGATGTACTGCCCAAGGGTAGGGTTTGTGTTCTGTGTCATGTAATTGGGATGTCCTTTACAAAAGCAAATGCCAATGTTTGGGGAATGCAACTCCTAGATGACAACAATTTATTAAAGTTGCATCCTTTCCAAGGCATCTATGTATCCTTTGGGGTTTTGGGTCATGTGTGATTTTAGTCAGACTTATGTCATGCTTGCCTTTACTGGGGGTGGATTCTCTGGTCTTGGTGGTGTAGGATCAGATGGTTCCCACTGATCTGATCCCCCTGGCCAAACCAAGCAGCCTGGGCTGGCTGACAGAGGAGTAAAGCTGTGACATGTGCAGCAGTGGTGGTAGGGGATGGATGATATCTGCTACTAATCCTGTCCTCCTGGCATTAGGTATGCAGCATGAAAGCGAGTCTTGTGTGGTTGCCTTGACAACAGGCTCACTTGCCCTGCCTCCATGCCACAATTCTCAAGTGGCAGTGGAAAAGAGAACATGTGCAAAATAATATTGAGCAAATTAGAACCTGGAAAAGGAGATAACATTTCTCAGCCTTTGGAAGATTGATTACAATTTGGGATCTTACTATATGGCAAGCAGTGACAAGATGATGCGTGTCTGATTTCAGTGGATTTCTAAGACTCTTCCCCTAGAGTCTCCTTCTGATTCAAATTCTATGAGAACATGAGAAACATTATAGTTTATGACCCATCAACCCAAAAGCACTCTACTAGTATGTAGAGTGGCCTACCAGGAGCTGAAATATGCACAGTGGTACCTTGCTTCTCAAATGGCTTAGTTGTCGAACAAATCAGCTCCTGAACGCCACAAACCCTGAAGTAAGTCTTCCAGTTTGCAAATGTTTTTTGGAAGCCGAATGGACTCCCAGAATGGATTAAGCTCGAGAACCAAGGTACTACTGTATCTTGTTTTGGTTGACTGGGGACTGCAACAAGCAGGAGGTACATTAAGTTTCTGGCAGGTTACAATGCATTGCTGAGGAGCTGCGTGCATCTTAGCAGGCCAAGATAATGCAGGATTGTATGAGATAAATGCTAGCAAAATATTATGGCAGAATCTGAGGTATACTCGGAGTTGAGTGTTGATTTCATGTTCTTTATTTCAGCTCATGGTAAACAGTGAGTGAGTGCTTTCTCCCAAAACCTCTGGCTATATATACATTATTTACACAATGGGTCCCATGTCCCATGTGGTTGGCTGATTCATCTCCCCTCCTGGAGCCTGATTGGACTGTTCCTGCAGGCCAATCAGGTTGCTGATTCACTTCCTCCTGGAGCTGGATTGGGCTGTTCCTGCAGACCAATCAGGTTGCTGCCTTCTAGGATCTTACCTGCCTATTGTTCTAGGATCCAAGCTCAGTACATAACAGTTTTCCTTATTGCAGAATGCAAAGTCAGGTCCAGGTCCTTGAACACTTGGAGTTCTAGCCAATGCTAGGCTTACTCACTGTTGAAATCTATTTACGTGACTAACCTAGGTCCATTCATTTCAATGGGTCTACTCTAAGCAGAACTTATTTTAATACAACCCTGGAACTTGGTGCCTTGAGAGTGCCCGCCTCCCCCTCACTATTGTTGCTGCTGTCCACCCACTGTCTCTTTCTTTGGGTCCAAGCTGTGCCACTACTGAGAAGGAGGCGGTGGCAAGACATCTGGTAGCTTCTTACTCTTTTCACTCTTGTTGTGGCCTGCATGTTTTAAAGGCAGGTGAACAAACAGGAGAGAAGGAGGAAGAGGAGGAACAAGGCCATAGAGTTCAGGGAGGCAGACAAACACATATGAGAGAACATAGGAAACTGGCTTATACTGAGTCAGACCATTGGTTCATGTAGCTCAGTATTGTTGATGCTGATTGGCTTTAGATACCCAGGGTTTGAGACAAAAATCTTGCCTTGCCTGGAAATGCTGGGGATTAAACCTGGAACCTTCTTCAAGCAAAGCATGTACTCTTCCATTGAGCTATGGCCATGATGACTCTGGGCTTAGTTTTTCTCCTTCATATAGCAGACTTCTGCATTTGACAGCTTTGGGAAGACTCTTAATGGAGCCCACACTCCTTATTTACCAGCTTACATTGGTTCCATTAAGCATATCTGAAAGCTGTCAAATATGGAAGTGTTTTATAAGAAGGAGGAAAAGATTCCTTGTTAATCTGACCCTCAAGTAAGTCATTGGCCACCATCAGGGGATTACCATTGTTAGGCATCTACTAAGACAGCCACACCAGCAGAGGGTGCATTGCTGATAGCCGGAGAGCCTTGACTTTCATTCTCCTCCTCCTTCCCTGGGCCTGTTCATCTTCCCTCTCTGAGCATCTACAGTAAATACAGCCTTGAGTTTGGACCTGGAAATGTGGGTTCATGTTCATATTCATTTTTTCATACAACTCATACCCGACCTTTCAAAATGAACTCCCACAAGGGGCAGCCCTAGATTCCATCTGCAAAGACTGGCTAAGCAGCCTTGGGAAAGTCAGGACCTTTCGACCTTCATTCCTCTTTTAAAAATGCTAGTAAGGACAACAGTTATAAGGAATTGTCAATATTCTAGGTAATTGCAAAAGTGACTGAGACAAGTATTTGCATACTAAAAGGGCTGTTTGAAACAACAACATATAAAAGAACCAGTCTTAATCTCTCGAGCGCATTCCAAGCTATGTCATGTTCCCCCAACCAAATATATTTATGCATTCATTTAATTCCAGGTTTTCTGTCTCTGTTTTGCCTGGGCATGCTATCCCATTTATCCAGTTTTCAATTTTGTAATGTGGTGTTAGGTGCCATTTGTCAAACTCCTTTGTTATATATTTGCTCCTTAAGCCACATGTGGAGAAACTACATAAGCAGAGCCCAGTCCAAACATCTGGGAACTTGATGTATATAAACTGTCAAGTGACTCCAGCGTAAACTTCAAAGTTGCTGGTAGGAGGCCATTTTGGAACACGACTCCTTCTGGGTGAGAACTCTGCGGCTATCCATCAGGTTCCTGTGCTGAAATTCACATATCTATCCTGGAATGGTGTTTTGAGCTTCACTTAACCCCAAGCTCCCTTTCAAGTTCCCACCTGGGTCAGTTAACCCAAGGTAGTGCTTTGGGAGAGTTCTGTGGTGCCATTGGCAGTCAAACTGAAACCCTGAACAGGGTCAGGGTTACTTTGTGTCCTATACCTGCTTCTGGTTGTTGAGGCAGCTGTCTAGTTTGATATAGGCAGGTGGGCACTGAATCAGCAGAATGCAGAGGACCACAGCTTCCTGGGTTGTAAGGCTGAGTCGGAATCCCTTATTTGCTGCCCATGAAAGTGTATGCAAGAGTATGAGTGTCTGTATTGCTTCTTAATTTTGTCCTGTGAGAGTGTGTTGTGTATAGGCCATATAAATCTACACATCTCTGCTTGAGAGCGTGTGTGACGTGTGTGTATGTTTGGTTCCAGTCCTTGACTCTATATAATGCATACCTGTGACTAGTTCCTGTAGCCAGCACTACAGGTAATTCTCAGATTACCTGCACTGCAATTGCTTTGCATCTATTTTTTGCCATGGTCTCACCAAGTGTCTAGTCTTAGCCTTGGTGTTCTGCTCTGTATACTATGTCATTGTTTTCTGCAATGCCTTCCTCATAATATGTGACACTTGAACTATGGTGGGTGGGTGAACTAACATTTCGTGAGTGATCTGTCAGACATACGTTTTGAGTTCTTTATAAATGATTCACTTGAACATTATTGCTCTTGAAACCAGTCCCAATCTATGCTTTCCCCATCTTTGAAATGGATAGAAGCTTTTTATGATGTCTTCTAAGTTCCTGAGACAGCCATAGATTGCCGTATGTGGTTCTGCAGTGGCCTGATTCCATGTTTGGATGGTATTGGTTTGTTGCAGGGAAGCTGTAGCCACTTAGCAATAATTGTAAGATAATAAGAGATTTTTTTAGGGACCCCTTTGTTCCCCCCTTGATCTTGCCCAGGCACCAGATCTTTTTTGAAAGAGTTTGTGAACTTACTTCTGTGTGCAAGCTTACCTGAATATTTCACCCCAAACTCTTCCCTCCCACCCCCCATGCTTCCAGCAGAGGCACCAGGAAGACAAGAGCTGGGCAGATGCAAAATTAAAATGCAAACAATTTGCATTCATCACAGAATGGAGAACCAGGGTCGAGGAAATGGTGCATTATGATTGCGTGCATTTATATTTGATAAAACATGCTTGCAATTTATATGTAAATGAGGTGTGGCTCTTGATCTCCTGGCACATTGTCAGCATGGCCCTTGGTGTCACCTAGTTTGGGTGCCTTCCTCCCCGATTTTTTTTAATGTGCAGGACATGTTTATAGCTATTTTCACTAGGATCAAATTCTTCTTTTACTTAAACAGCACCAGCAGGGTCTGTCCAAAAAGGCAACAGTGGAATTAACAATTGGGGCCAGCTCAAGCTACCTTGTTGTTCTGGGCAAAAAATAAAAATGGTTTTTCTGTCCCTGCACCACATCTGTGGCATTCATAGGGGGGCTTTTTAATAACAGCTGTACCCCCTTTTCCTTGTTCTATAAGTGAACAGAGCAGGAGCAAGGAGCTGAAACTCAGGAAATCACAGAAACCTTTTCCCTGCCACAATTCTTGTTATCCCAATTTTCCAGGGTGCTGGTACCTGTGATCCTCTGTTCAGGATTTTGAAGCCTGATGCCTACTGAATGCATTCCTCACTGCAGCATCTACTGCCTATTTTGATGATGTTATAACAATCTCCATCCATTCTTGGAGCTTCATCTCCTTAGTCAAAGTGCCCAGCCATTTTCTGAGAAATGTTCCTCTCCATGTCTTTTTCAAGCTCCTCCATAAGCAGATGAACTGCAACACATAGGATACAACAATCCTCTGCTCACCCCTTCACCCCTGTCATCATAATGCAGGAGATATGGCAGGGAATAGATTCCTGAAAAAGGCAGAAAGGTAGGGTGGATCACTGATTCTCATGGGATCGTCTAGATCTCTGTGTCCTTGGTTCACTCTGATCAGATGCTGCCTTCTTCCTTCCTTACAGTGGTCATCTTTCAAGAAGGAATCATAATTCCAGGATGGAGAGGAAGAAATGTGCTTTACCTGGATGGTTCTGTGCCCCCAGGGCTAAAATTTCCTTAATGAACACAAGATGAACCCTGCTGGATTGGGCCAAAGGGCCGTCTTTTCCAGCATTCTGTTCACACAGTGGTCAACCAGATTCCTATGGAAAGCAAGCAAGCAGAACCTGAGGGCATCAGGACACGCCTCACCTGTGATTCCTAGCAACAGGTATTCAGAGGCATACTGGCCCCTTCCAAATGTGTTCCCATGGGATTCTCCATGAAATTACTTTCATTGATCATGCTCATCCACTAGAAGATTCAGTAAGAGAAAAAAAGCCACAAGCGCAGTGGTTTTTTTGAGAAAAAGAGGTGCCAGAACTCATCATGAATGCCTCCCTTGTTCTCTTATAAATTCAACCAAGTGTGGTTGAAGGCAGGTTGGCTGAAATCACACAAATTAAATCCAAGCAAAGTTTAAAAGATTTGATCAGGCCTTTTTTCCCCTGCTATCATATGTTGATTGGTTTGCTGCTGCCTAATATTTCTAATAGGGGACGCGGGTGGCGCTGTAGGTAAAACCTCAGTGCCTAGGACTTGCCGATCGTATGGTCGGCAGTTCGAATCCCCGTGGCGGGGTGAGCTCCCGTCGTTCGGTCCCAGCTCCTGCCCATCTAGCAGTTCGAAAGCACCCCTAAGTGCAAGTAGATAAATAGGTACCGCTTTATAGCGGGAAGGTAAACAGCATTTCCGTGCGCTGCGCTGGTGCTGGCTCGCCAGAGCAGCTTCGTCACGCTGGCCATGTGACCCGGAAGTGTCTTCAGACAGCGCTGGCTCCCGGCCTCTTAAGCGAGATGAGCACGCAACCCTAGAGTCGGTCACGACTGGCCCGTAGGGGCAGGGGTACCTTTACCTTTAATATTTCTAATACTGTTTTAGACCAGTTCTTCTCAGAATGAGAAAAGCTTCCCTAGTGACTTTGTTCTCCCTACAATTTTTCTGTAGTGGCCTGGTGGGGCTAGCCCTGTGTTGTCCTTTCATCTCTTCCATCCCACCTCTTCTAGCTCAGTCTGATTCAGTGTCTGTTCATCCTTCTTCTACAATGTTTGATCCTCTGCACTTGTTAGTTGTTGACTGTTCAAGTTGTGCTATCAATGAAGTTAAAAGATTGATTTATACCAACAGTCTGGATCAAATGTGAGTTTAGCTGAGTGGAAAGTCATTAGGGCTGGCAAGAAAAAAACGATTCTACTAAATTTTGTGAAATCGAGCCAGTAATTTGAGGCTAAACATTTTGGTGAAATGACCAGGCATCTCTGTACCGTGTATTTTAAACAT